CAGCGGCGGCGGCATCGCGGTGCGATGGTGGGCGGAAATCAACCACTCAAAAAGAAGAAAAAGAGGAAGCAAAAGGCCCCAGACGCGCTATAAAGTCTCCTCAGGGATGGGTTGGAGACCGTGCCCTCTCTCTACATATACCCCCCTCCTCGGCGAAGACACAGGTGTGGACAATAGTTGCAATCTAGAGGTCCTGCTATTTTAAAAGAAAGGCTTCCTGGATGAAAATAAATTACCAAAGGAAAGGGGTGGAATGGAATTCTGATCGTCTATGCAAACACAGCCGGTATGAGGGATCAATTCGGCATTTCACAAACCGCTAATACAAGGTAATAGATCCTAAATACGTCTATAGAATTCACGTCCAACGTAAATCCATAATCGCCACCATCCATCAAACGAATCGTAGCGTCATACTTCGTGAATGTGTAATCCCCCCGTTGTTTTAATGCCACTATAATCCGTAAAAAGGCGAAAAAGGCCCAAAAGGATCCTCTTCCCCTAATCACACATTGTGAAGATCAGACACTGGTGAAACGAGAGAGGCACTCGAAAAAAAAAAAGAAAAATGACACCCCATGACCTCAAAGCAACCCTACCCCCCCCAAAAATGTGGTCCTTTGAACTCAAGAATCATCTTTGCTTTTAAAAGTTTGCTCTAAAAAAGACGCCACCGCCAAGGTCCCTTCGGTGAGCTCGATGGCGCCGCAAAGCGCGTTTGTCGTCGCGAGGAGGACCTCCCGAGGGGTGCCCAAACGACCCTCCCGCGTGGGGAAGGCCGTGGGGTCAAACAACAAAAAAGGCTCCAATCCGGCGATAACGGGCAGCCTTTCCAAATCCGAAATCGCCAACGAATTCATTCTTAAGGAAGGCGTCCGATTAAACAATGGCCTCGACGTCCCCACGCCAGGCCCCTCCTCCCCATCGCCCTGGAAACGATCGCTTTCCACGCTTCGGTGGTGAAGCTCGAGAGCGTGGTGAAGAAGTTGGAGGCTGCTGGCCCCGCAGAGGGTGAGCTCCGCGGGCATCGCAATCAGACGTCGAAGCTCCCCCGCGCGTGGATGACGGGGTGAAATAAACGTGGGATGCAAAAGCGCGCATAAAAAATAATCCGTTTTGCCCAAAGTGTCCGCCGACGTGATGTCTTGACAGGCTTTTTGAAGAGCCCGTCGCGCGGATGCAATCCAGTCTTGCGGAAGGTTTAATTCGTGCTGGACGTCGAACAGACGTTGCCGTCGGCAGCTGTGAGCTGGCAGAACCCCTTGGGAAAGGAATGCTTTGGAAGGCTTAGGCAAATTTTGCCGTAGTATCGCGATATACCGCTCCCGATTTCGAGAAACCGCATTCATACTTGGCCCTCCATTGAAAAACAACGGCATATATGGTTTTCACGTCGAAAACTACTAAAGGAGAAACAACTGACCCCCAATACTAAGAAATAAGACCCATATAGAAGATGCAATTTTCGAGATATCCATGAGGAGGGGAAAAATAGGATGAGAACAAAAAAGAAAAGAATGCGCGTAACAGTTTCAATAAAGATTAGGTAGAAAATGATGAATTTGCTTGAATGGCTCTTAATTCAAGGTCTCTAACATACACAATATTCATTCTGTAGGGAGAAGTATAGTGAACACACCCTTTTTTTTTGAGCAGTGAACAGAATTATAATTATTTGTTTATAACATTCAAGAAAAGGCGTAATACTTTACAGGAAAAATAAAGCCTACATGAACAACCTTTCTGAACTTTTAAAATGCGTGAATGGCTAAATGAAACGGGGGAAATGGTGATAAAGCTAGTGACAATATAGGAAAAAAAAATGATTATTAACGTAACGCTACGATTCTATGTTTGCGTGTCGCATAAGAATTATGATTTTTTTTCTTTTAATCACACTTGTACCCTTCCATTTTCACGCTTTAATTCATTCCTGACACTATTTTAGTAAAACAGTTTTCTGTAAAGACAGGATTCTCCCTCCTCATCCCACTCTTCCTTAGAGATCCAGAGTGAATTGAAGGATGAGCTTGCAGCCGCGATAGAATTCCCAACCCATGCGCCTTCGGCGGAATTAGTGGCCGTAAAGGCGTTGTCCGAATCATATCGATAGTAGGAAGGGTCAATCAACTTCGCCTCGTGCACAATGCGCTCGCGGAAGCCGGGAACCAAACTCCCGCCCCCCCCCAGCACGTGCTGGACCGTGTGAAGCCGCCACTCCACATCCAACTGCTCCTTGCAGGAGATCAAAAGCCTGGCGAGATTGCCGGAGGCCGACGCGTTGGGGCCG